TTCGTACATACTAGTATTATTGTTATTATCATCATCATCTCTAAAATTATCGTCATGTGAAACATAATGGTCCTATTTATTGTTGGCATCGCTTTTAAACAGTACGTGACATCGATAATTCATCGACATTGAGTATATATTTTGCGAATGTTATTTCGATTAACTATATCAAAATCATATTCATAATAAACCTACGATATTCCAATCTTTTCCGATCGCCTCTGTTGATCTCTCTTGGATGCAGGAGGCCATCTATATTGTTGTTTTACCTAGGCCTCTATGTGGTTGTGATTTTGGCCGAGAATCGAATTGTAGTTTAATTCGTTTTTTATTTATCAACTTAATGGCGTAATTGTCGCAGATAGACGGCTAAAATAACTCAGCAACCAAATTAAAACTCTCTGCTATTTATTTATAACCCATTTTTTTACACCGGCTGCCTTGGTGTGTAAAAAAACGACTTGGTCTCATCATGGTCTACATCTACTCTTATTGTATGAAGTAACAGTATGGACGAACTAAGTAGGCCTATATTGGACATTGAGTATTGAAGTAAGCATAGCAACATGGAACGCATTAGTGGAATTATGTATTCAATTTCATGTGCAAGTGGTAATACTATGATGAAAGACTAGAGGTTGTTGAATTTTTTTTTTGTTGGTTCTTGTTCTGGTTCACTTTTTGTTCTTTACAATTCAGTTTCTGCTTAAGCCGTGTCTCAACCGACATCCAGACATTTATTTCATTAAGCATATCTATTTTAGGATAGTTTTTTTTATTAGGCTTATGTTATAGCTTGTAACATTGTTATTTATTTCTTGAGAGAAAAGAATAATGTAAATGAGTACAGTACATGGAACACAAGTCATTGCCTAATAGCAATAAGTCTTCAGGACTAAAATCATAGTTGACGAAGGCCTACTAGGGTTATGATTGATAATTATGCTCTGAACACGAGGTTGGTTCGTATCCCGCCGAGGTAAGATGCAAGAAAACACATGTACGAACGTCATATATCCAGTATGTACATCACAGCAAACTTTAAATTACGATTTAGCATATTCCCAGCCATAATAAAAGTTAATTATATAAACAGAAGATGGAGGTACGAGAAAGTCACAAACTATCATAATTATAAATCGCACTACTGGAGTTTTTTTAACACAGTTTTGTTAGTTGTTTTTAATGTTCCGTACCATTTTTTAAAATTAGAATTAACAATAGAAAGAAAACAGTAAAACTATAATGTTATCTATCTTTGTGTCAATTTTGTATAAAATCGTCGTTACATGTGCATACGCCTATATATATACATATATATACATATATATATATATATATA